GATTGCTATTGCTATGAGACCGACAATGTTGTGAATCTTCCTCATAAGAATATAGCTCATAAGAAGGAAGGCCGACGAGACCGTCAATTTTAGTCTAATGGTTTTGTTATAGCTTAACTGAGGGACGGAGATCCAATGAGACCTAGGTCTTGTGACAACTTTTTAAAGCGTCCATCAGAACGATTGTTAGAATCGTACGTGAGCTTTCGTTCTCGCGGCCTGTTAGACTACTTGGAATGTCACGGAGTGTGGAAATTTGCGCCAGATTTCTTGCATGAGAACAATTTAGTTTTAACAAAATATAATTTTCTTTTATAATTGTATAAGATAACTTTTACATATGTCTGATTATGACAGGCCTGATAATTCATTTTTAATCATTGATATACCGAGCAGGGCTTAGAACATTATTTTGATTTTTAAAAGATTCCGAAATATTTGTTTAGCTATGATGTTGTCGTTGTAGTCTTTTATAGTTAAACTTTAATAATTTGAGAGATGAAATAAACCAACAAGTTAAATTTGTTGCCTTGCTCGTTGTGCTTGCAAAGTCCAATCAAGAAAAATATATGTTTGTTTTCTATCATTACATTTATAAACTTTGTGGGAAGAATTATTGTATCGATTTAGCCTTATGAAATAAATATTCAAATTTACGTTAGCCTTATCACTTTTGAATTTGAATGAATAGAATTGAAATGTATGTGGAAATGAACTTTCTTAACCACAAATTTGTCTCTTTGCAGTAGACATAATAAACATTTTTAGAAAATAAATTATTGATGTTGTGTCCTATTGTTGTGTTTCGTGTTATACAACCCCCCCCCCCCCCCCGTAACGCAAAGGTTTTGCAATCAACTGCACATTTCTTAACATCTATTCTAAATGCTTAATGGTCAGCCTCTTGGAAAACATGTGCATGCGACCATGAGCGGATCCACCGGGGGAGGGGGGGGGCCGACGGGCCCGGACCCCCCCCCCCCTGTTTTTTCTTTAAAAGGCCTAATTTAATATATATATATATATATATATATATAACATTTTTTAAGTAAGTGAACACACAACACACCCCTCCCCCCCCCCCCCCCCCCAATGAGCGAAATATCGGTCGGCGCGATTTTCAAATTTTAGGCCCCCCCCCCTCCCCCCCCCCCCCCCCCTCCTTATCGGCAAATCCTGGATCCGCCACTGCATGCAACGGTGATCTAAATTGGTCATTGCGATTTTGCGATTGATTGCAGACCTATGTCTAACGGAGCCCTGAATAATCAAGGATACTTGGGAGCCCCTTAAAGGGATCCGGTAACTTTATCTCAGATTCTGAAACAACATTCTGGATTTAGCTCATGATGCAATGATAATTATAAACCTTTAGGTAAGTCAGGAACCCCATGACTTTTACAAGCCGATCGCCTGTCTGAATATCAAGATATTTATGATTCGAATTACAAATTTTGAAAACCGTTCGCCTGACGGTTTTCATAACACTACAGTCTATTGGGGAAAACGAGTATGGTAAAAACCGGTCACTCAATGATTTTTACTTTTTTGAGGCACTTCTTGATCATTTTGAAGCGCAATTTTTCTAGGGCTTTTAATATTACACCATATCACAGACACTGATAACACGTAGGGCCGTGTATCTCAGATTTAACATTGTTAAACGATCCCTTTAACTCTTAGATTTACCAAACATGTCGACCAGAAAAACCAATATGCAATAATGAAATTTAGCAATTGGATAAACCAATTGTGTTGTAAATGCAAATCCTAATATATCTTTTGCTTTTTTAACCCCTGTTATCTAATTATATCATAATGCTTAAAATATTTGTTTGAACTGTTCCAGAGCAGGTGATCTTGCAAATAAAGACTTAAATAAGAGGTGTGAAATTTAAGCCAATGGGGTTCAAGACGTTTAGTTGTTGTTGTTTATAAGTGGTTTTAGGAGCTACAATAAATAAGGGGAAGAGATATCAAAGTGCATTTCAAAATAAAGTTTTCAGCAATAATCATGCACTCAATGTGATCTATTGTTAGCCAGGGAATATCTTCAATTAGAGTCAAATAAACATATTCAAGGCAATCCTAATTCCCTTGCTTGGGATACAGTGATTGTTTAAATTAACTTTCAAAAATTGTTGCACAATATGACGTGAACCGTGTGTTCAACCAACCTTTTGGGAACAAGGCACTAATTTTTGCAAAAGTTAGTCAAACGCACCCTATAGTGTAATACTGCAAGTTTTTTCTGCTATTTTGAAATGTTCAAATTAAGTAAAGGTTTACCAAATAAATCACGCACAGAATCAGGTCATTTCCTCGGGCAGATTTTGATGGTATCATTTAATGTTTAATAGGTATGTAAAATAATGCATTCATATATCAACACAATGAGTGCAAATACATAATTAAGTTCCACTCTAGCAGGGGTATTTACTTGTAAGATTAGTACACTAACAGCAAAGTGAAAGTTAAAATATAAAATTTAATTTCTGGTACAGATGAAAACATAATTTGTAGGCTTCCCCCATTTTGTTTACGAAATTTTGGAAGAATATCATTGTAGAAATGTCCCATATACAGATTCCTCTTCAAATGTTCTCATACTCGAGATATGACGATACGTATCTAAATTTTGTAAACCAAAATATCATGGCACAGCTGCGTGTAGTCCCATGAATTAATTCTCGTGTGCAATACATGTGACTTCCAGGAGCACGATTGAGTCAATGTTTTTACAGTTTGATTCTTGCAAAACCTCATAATATACCCCGAATTCTTATGTTCTGGCAAATCACCCCTTTTAAAATCTCTTCCAGACCATTGTATATCATTATCATCATTTTTTTTAAATTGTCGTTATTTTCATTATTATTATTATTAATATCATTATCATTATCGATATTCATTATGATGGTTATTTATGTGGCAAAGATAAAATCAAGAAACAGTGAATGCGAAACAACGATAAGATATGACATCAATCACACGGATGCCGGGAAAAGAAGAAAGATTAGTTTAATATTATTAACCTGAAGGACTTCTAATCCTATCAATGCGAATTTACATCCGCAAATAGCACGGTATTGCAAAAGCAACATATAATCAATTGTATGTATATAAAAGCAGATAATAATTAGGTAAGAAAAAACAATCAATGTCGCATTATGTACGTGTCTTTAAAAAAAGATTATCACATGACGAGTACTCGAGTTTTGTTTCATAGATACTGGAATGAAAAATGGCTGAAACCAATTCATCCATTATAAAAATTAACACCCACACGCAATCCTAATCTAGGTCAAAAGTTATTAGTTACTTGCATTGCTAAAGCAAAAGAAAGTTCATGCGTTCGGTAGCTAGCTAATGACAGATTGCTGAAACTAAATTTATGATAGCTAAATAAGTAGAAGTCATTAAAGACCATATACGAACTGATAAATGAAATGGATGAATTATATATCAAAGGAAAGCTTATAAGCCATAGATTACAATACTACTTGGTGACATCATCTTATGGAGTACGCATACTCACAATGACTTTGCATTAATTAAGCACGGCTCATCGCCTCAGCTATATAGCTGAACCTATGGGGTCCACATGTTATATCGTCACTGTAACTTTGGCAAACTCGACCCCTGTTGACCCGTCATTTAGAGGGTGTGAAAAATGAGATTTCATTTTGCGTTTGTGCAATGATGAAAGGGTAAATACTTTTTATTCCTTTATACATGGTTATTTGTATTCTACAGTCATTTAGTTTTCCATTTATATCAAGTTGATTTTCATCGGATAAGGTCTTTAAACATCCTATGCTAAGATAATTGATGGTAATAAAAACAGCTGAGTTGGTTTAGTTTCATATTGCAGACATTTATGATACGAACATATTGCTCGTTCTAGGCTTCTAGGTCCAGCCAGAAGAAGACATTCAGACAGTCGCAGTCATTGCGTTTATCCATAACGTTGTTGTTGGGTACATCAAATTTTAGTGGCATATTTACAACCGCTATCCACAGATTTGACGTCTGCTTTACTTCGTAATTAGCAATCATAAAGTTAACATTCAATGAAGGTAAGATATTAATTTATTTCTTTTTCCTTACCTTTAGTTGGGTCGGTCGTGAATATTTTTAGGGGCGCGAAATGAAATCGATATACTGCAATGAGAATGTGCGATTTATTATTTTAAATAATTTTTGTATTCATTTTGACATGTTTCATACGGTAGGATCAATTTGGATTTAATTTTTTTTTTGGAAGCAATTTAAAACAGAGTTAAAAGATGAAACCATGCCTATGTTTGCATTAATTTGGTGTCTAGTTGCCTTAAGTATGAACCCCCGAGTTGAAAATAAGGGAACTGTGTTACATGTGTTATTCCTAATAGAGAAATAAGTTTGCAATAGGGTATCTTGATATTCCGTGATAAATTTATTGAAAATTTTAACAAATCATAATTATTAACTTTCTACAAAAGTATTATATTATGTCATTGTTGTTGGAAAGGTGGAGCAAAGCCTCATGGGGCATTCATTGATAAGTTTGAAAGTAGAAAGATAAAATAAATAATTTGTTCCCCTTTTTCCAACAGAAATCGTTCGTTATGGCTTACAAACACCGAATGCTTCTGGACCCTTTGTTTTTCCTGGTAATCATAAGCTTTTCGCAAGCACTTCCTGCAGATACGGCAGCCTTGCCCTACACTCTAGGAGATATCGAAACCTCTTTCGAGGGTTGTACATTTGAAATTAAATCGTATACTGCTTTTTGCGAGAGACTCGGGTTAACTCACGTTCCCAGAGAGCTCCCAGAGGTTGTTGAAATCCTGAGGATCGGTGACAACAGTATTAAGTCTCTCTTGAACTCCTCGTTTGAAAGGTACCCGTATGTCACCTACCTAGACGTCTCCCAAAACGACATCAGAGTGATAGAAACCGCAACTTTCTATCCCCTTAAAGAATTAGCCCTCCTACGTATATCCTTGAACCGGCGTATGGTACTTCCGGCTAAAGGTCTACTCAGATGGAACACCAAGTTGTCCTACCTTGATGTGTCCGGGTCAAGCTTGAAATCACTTCCGGGTGACATTCTAAGATGGAACCTATTGTTAGATACGGTATTTCTCAGCGGCAACAAGCTGTCCTCTGTGCATATCACCCAGTGTGGCACGGTGCGTGTCGTCGACTTGTCTAGTAACAATATTGACCAGCTCACAAATGATACTTTTACCTTCACTTGTCAAACGGATGTACTCTACCTCACATACAATCCCATCCGAACAGTTGATCCTGGTGTAATTGCATCACTACAAGTCCGAGCATTAGTGCTAGGAGGAAACAAACTGACTGTAGAGGTGGTTAAAGATATCTTTACTGGCATCTCTGGATCGACGATCGAGAACCTCGCAATCATAGCAGCAGGCCTTGGCAGCTCTGGGGAAATTCCTAGGCATTTATTTGATCCACTGCGGAATCGCACTCTTTCAACACTTGACTTGTCCAAAAATCCTATGAAACTTCATTCTTCCATATTCTCGAGTTTGAAAAGGGTCTCCAGGTTAATTCTCAATAGTAACAACATAGACAGAATCGAACCTGATTTCTTTGAAGGTATGCAAGAAATAAGAGTCTTGAACTTGGAATCCAATCGAATAGGAACCATCAACACAAATGGTTCTACATGGGAAAGTGACTTGGTTGAGATGCACTTATCTGACAATTCTTTAACCAAAATTTCACCTTCCACATTCCGCGGTTTGTGGAATTTGAGGCTTTTAGACCTGACGAATAATCAAGCCCTCGCAATACTAGAACTGACATCCTTTTCGGGACTAAAACGAATCGAGACCATTAAACTTTCCTATAGCAATCTTGTAAAATTTGGTTTGTTAACCCCTAGCTTAAGATCTCTTTCCTTGGACAGTTTCGGCTTCCCTCTAATTTTGATGCCTGAATCGTCGTTCCAAAATTTAAGTTCTCTTGAATATTTGAGAATTACGGATTCTTGGGTTTCCAATTATAACCTGTGGGATCGGAGAGTGAATGTTTCTCTCTTTGATGGGTTGTTTAATCTTACGAATTTGAATCTGAGTAAAAATCCCAAGATGTCGGCAATTTTCAAGGAGTCACAACCGCGAATCTTTCGATCTCTCTCGGCTCTACAAACCCTTCGTCTCGAACACTGCAACATCTCAACGATTTATTCATCAGCCTTCGCAGGATTGGAATCGCTCCAAGTGCTGAATTTAAAAGGGAACATAATTCAACAACTTCATTTTGATTTACTGAAGGGCTTAGGTCAACTACTTAGTATAAGTCTTGCTGACAATCGCATAGCATACCTCGACAAGGAAGTGTTTTCCAATAACCATAGATTGAAAACTCTTCTCTTGTCAAACAACGAATTAACGCTCTTAAACCAAAGTACTTTTAAACCAATTGAGTCTTCGCTTTCCTCTATCGATCTTTCGTTGAATAAAATAATATGTGACTGTGATTTAAGTTGGCTTCTCGATTGGATCGGTCGTTCAAGAACATTCGTCAACGAGAGTACAACTCTCCTCAACGAGAATACCACTCTCTGTTCGCCAGCCTCTTTAAAGCCGTTACAAAACAAACCTCTCCTTGATTTTAATCCCTCAGAGCTTTGTAGCCTCAGCTTCCCCCTCGTCTGTTTGCTTCCCCTCGCTGTCATTAGCCTGGTGGTCATTGTCGTGCTCGTTTACCACTATCGATGGCAGTTGAGGCACAGGCTCTTTCTCCTGAGACTGGCCGCCATTGGGTACAAGGAGATACAAGACGCCCGGGAACACGATGATTACGAGTTCGACTTGAACATCATTTTCTACGACGATGACGAAGAATGGGTCCGTGAACACCTTCGGTTAGCCATCAGAGACCGGCTCCCGCAGTACCAGAGGAACGTCTTTGGTGATGAGGACCTCGTCTTGGGTATGCACTACTTGGAGTCGGTCGACTATGTGGTGAGGGGTAGTTACAAGACCGTTGTGCTGCTCAGCAGGGCCGCTGTCGGTGATCGCTGGTTCATGCTCAAGTTCCGTACGGCCATGGACCAAGTGAGTGATACCCAGACCGAGTTTGTCCTCGTAATTTTCCTGGAAGACATCCCTGACGAAGAACTACCCTTCTTGGCAAGGTTGTACCTAAGTGATGGCAGACCCTATCTGCATTGGCCTGAAGACGTTAGGGGACAGGAATATTTCCTTGATGAACTGACCAAGAACCTGACCATTAATCTAAAGACGAACGATTTGATTCCTAACGCTTTGTATCCGTTTCCACGATGTTACACGACGGAGTAAAAGAAACCTTCTAATAGCCCGTGGTCGTTTTTTCACTATTGAAGACAAACCTGGGCCCTTTTTCATAAACCTGCTATCAGTTACAAATTGCAATAACTGTCATAAGTTACCGCGAGATCATTGCATTTGATTGGCTGAGAGCACATTTGTCATTGAATTTAAAGGTATAGACCAGTTTTGGAAGCGCCCTCTCTCAAAAATATGTAATGGAAGCTTTTATTACCAATCATTTGAAAGAATATCTCTCCCTCTTTCTCTCCTTTGAATAGTACTCGATTCTAGGGAATAGCTGGTACCCCTTTATATTTTCTCCTTTTTCTATTACCTCAGTTTATTCAAACCCAAATAAATTAAAGGACATGTATTGTCTGCCAGTAAAGATTCCTATGTTGAGGAATGCAACATGGCGTATATGCTTTTGTTTTGTACTTGCCCAACCAAGCAGATTACGCATTTACGGTTATTGTAACAAATTAGAAACGGGTTGGCCCAACTCTGTGAATTGATGGCTCCCAGTGCATTGGTCGAAGGTTACACGATAGGTGGCGCTCTTTTGTTATATTTCAAGGTTCATTTTTCAAGGTTCATTTTATTTCTTTCTTTCACAACATTTTTACATATAATAATAGAACAAAAAACAGCATAAGAAAAAACAATTATTTATGCGCAAGAAGAGTATTTTAGTCAAGCACAACGTTTTTATATGCGACCCGATATGTGAGCTTATTGTAAGTTTTCATAGAAATCGTTGAAAGAAAATACATATTACAAGCAGGTTTCGATTCAGTATCTTATCTGGGCACATCGTTGGTTCAAACACAAGTTAGGGAACCAGCGAGAGAGAGAGAGAGAGAGAGAGAGAGAGAGAGAGAGAGGGGCAGAGAGAGAAGGATGATTCGCAAAAACAAGGATAGATATAGTTAGAGCTTGCTGGAGAAGGAGGGGGTGAAGTGAGATAGAGAAAGAAAATAAAGAGATAGAGAGGATAAGAGTGTGTGTAAGAGAGACAGAGACAGAGACAGAGAGACAGAGACAGACAGAGACAGACAGAGATAGACAGAGACAAAGAGAAACAGACAGACAGACAGAATACATAGAGAGAGAGATGGGGAGAGGGAATGGCAGAGTAGACAGACAGACAGTCGAAGCAGAAAGAGAGAGGTGGGGCAGCTAGGAAAGTAGAGTCCAATCTCATCCTATCCTTTACAAATTGCTACGTGCGGCGTTCCATAGGTAGACTATAACTAACATGTCAATATGCCTTCTGCACAAACCGTCCACTTGAGACCACAATAGGCTTACATGATCATCAAAGTTAAATGCATTTCCTACTGCTGACAAAACGTACACTGGTACATGGAAGACTGTCTTATCGCAACTTTGCCCCCACGCCGTTAATACTTTACTAGATGGTAAACACTTTGTTTTTTCCTCAAACAACACGGACAAGTGTCAATACATTCCTTTGCTATTACAAATCTGTTTGCTCTATTAGAGCTATCGCGTACGTGAATGAGTAATCAAAGTTTGTTCATTGACTGTTCAAGTGAATCAGATATGCGACGGCAGATTTTTTTACACTTTATGGTCAAACTTCTTTTCGTTTTTTTCGTTTTGGGCTTGAGTTAAATTGATGTTATTTCGTACTGAAACGCAGACTGTATTTTATCACCTCATGACATCCTCTGAATATATCATTATTTCTTTTAATCTTCAATATGATATGTCAAATGTGATTGTTTTAAATTCATGTACAGTTGACAACTAAACTATTCATATCCTTACCAAATTTTGTAATTTGTTAAATATATGACAAATTGATTGCCCCTGATTTCATATTTTTTGAGAATGTGACATATGTAAGTTTACCTCTAAAAGTATTCACAAAACATCTAATTTACAAGGGGTATAAGTCGTTTATTTGTTAACTGCATTTTTTACATTTACCTTATATCTTGCTTTAAAATGTACATGTTCAGTCTAAATTGATATAATTCATATTTACAATTGTCCCACTACCGGATTTGTTTTTCTTCTAAATTTCTAAAGTAAAATAGAAAAAATATACCATTAAAGTTTGTAATACTTTAAATAACATGTCTGAAAATTAATCTAACTTTGACGATTTAAGAATTTAAGACCATTGCTAAAATCTGGGATCTACAATTTAACTCTTTTGTCATTTCTGGGATAACAGTTACACTTTAAGAGGGCATGGGAATTGTATTCTAGTAAGGCAGCTTTAAGACAATTAATAAATTTGAGATGAACATTGTGAACTGCACCTTAAATTGTCACCGTACCATGATCCTCGCCAAAACTGTTTGAATTATAAGATAAATTGTACGTAGTGATCCATATTAGTATTTCTCTAAACAATTCTGCGGAAGAAAAGAATAATATTTTGTGTTGCTAACGATTATACGATTGGTTCATTTTCGCAGAAGCATAATAAAACATTCGTGCTCGAAAGTTATATTTCAATGAAAATTGAATAGCCCTTGTATTGTTATGTTTTTATGTCACGCATTAAAAATGGATCGTTTCGAAACAGAATGAATACTTGGTCATGAAAGAAAAATATGTTGTTAATTTTCAGCATAACCTCAGCCAAAACAAGAGTAACATCTCAGCCCGGCATCATGTTTGTTCGTTAAAAAACCAATGACATTGTTTGCTCCCTAGTTAATCTTTACCAAGGTCACGTGATGTCTGTAAATCATAATTATGCGTGCATCATCTTTTATCCTCAACCCCCCCCCCCTCCCTCCCCTAATCGCCATCTTGGTTTTAGATGTTAATGCTAATAATATGAATATTGTATTACAGGGGGAAGAAAAAATCTCATCATATTGAGGGCATAAATTGACTAGAGAGCCATTTTAAGAGTCAAACAAATTGTAAAGCAGGGAACAATTTTAAGGTATTTGCACCCTCCAAGAACAATGGAATTGTCCTTGCGGGCGCACCCTTTGCCTGGTACAGCGTTATGCATCATCATGTTAATCTTTAACTATCTATTGACAAAAGCCCTGCAATAATTTTGTTTGCACATTTCCAATACATCGGGGTCAAAGGTCACCACCCAAGATGCATTGCGAGCATTTTTTCTGTTCATCACGTCTGTGCAGTAACACACCCAAGCGGTACAGAGATATAATAGTATACGAATAATACACATACATTTAGGCGGGAAGTGTAGACAATGATATAAACTGCTGGAAAGATTTTAATATTTTTCGAGGAGGATTTACGGTGATTTTTCTTGGTGCAATATTTCCAAACCAAGATGGCTAAAGGGACCCTGGTTCTGTTATGCTGCTTGCTTTGTGCGATGCAAGCCTATGCAGTAAATCAAGAAAGTGAGTATATTTTCTTCACCAATATTTCTCTTACAAAAGGTGCTGCTTTTTGTCGGTAACGGATGCACTTTGTTGACTCGGTGAAGGCTGAAATCCAAAATGGCGCTCTTTAATGTGCCTGCAAATGTGGAACTTAATCTGGCATATTTTCGTTTCTTTTTATTAGTTATTCTGAATGTTTTCCTTAAAAACATCACATTTTGAATGTATCGACAACCACTACAATTCTTTGGGCATTAAACATGAGCATTATTCATTATTAATGTAACTATATGGTATCATGTAAATGGATCAATATGTATAAACTTGTTTCGAGAACAGGATATTTCAATTTGTTTCGATGTCGGCTTATTGACTTTTTATCAAATGTTGTACGCCTGTTTTATACCTCATTCTCTATTTTAATGATATAAATTGATCATCAATTTGATGACGTTTCGCAATAGCCGAGGTATGATAATTTCCAAAGCTCTATGGAAGCACGTAGTGACGTTAGATCATAACGTTATATGCGCTTACAAGAATGGCATATTATTATTGTCATTATTAAATTCTAGAACATTTTTTTTTGTTGGTTTTGTTACCATTCTTTATTGCTACTGTAATCCTGTGTAGAATGTCGTATATACTTGTTATCTCTATCTGGTAACGAGTTGTTAAGACCATTCGAATAAAAGAATCATATGCATTTGTATGTTAAAGGAACTTTAATACTCACCAAATATCAGTTACTTTTTTACCGACATCTACTGTATAAGTCCGAATTAATTACCTATTTTGGTCTTAATTACATGCTTTTATAAGGGTACTTTATATATCATTTATCAGCATGACGTATTAATAAATCTATTTGAGACAACCGTACAAATTATTGCATACACTACTTTGATTTTCCAAGTTATGATTGCTACTCATGTTTGTCATTTAACAACAAAATCGACATGTTCTCACAAAGCATTCGATGACATACTGAAACGAGCTTACAAAATGAGTTTGAAATTATTTTCCTTGGACAAAATATTTATTATGTATTCAAAAGGGTTTCGACACTGCTAATTCGCGAGATCTAATAAAGAAAATAGGTAGGATTAGTGACATGTAAACGCATACAATGACAATGCAGGTAGTGATTTACAGTATTGGTTTCATTGCCAAATGAATATCTTGCACGATTTTATTAAAAGGAAATCGTGTTATTTGTTCTTTACACTTTTTATAGGGTGAACAACTTTCTGGCTTCTAATGATGACAATTCAATTGTTTTTGTTAATGTAGCACGAACGTTGTTGTTATCTTTAAAACAATAATGTTTAAATGAGGAAAAAAAATGATGATGATCATGATGATGATAATGATGATGATTAGAACAATGATGATTATGATGATAACATAACAACAATGACACTAACAAGGATATGATACGAAATTCTAATAATTCAATATGATTATATTATTGTTATTATTACTATCATCATTATCATTATTAATATTATTATTATCATCGAGATTGTCATTATAATTGTTATTATTTTTTAAGTAGTAGTATTATTATCGTTATTATTATTATTATTATTATTATTATTATTATTATCATTATTATTATTATTATCATATATTGTCAATGTTATTATCATCATT